TAAATCCCCAAAGCAGCACACTAGCCACCCATGCCACAAGTCACCCACTATCAAGCCTTTCTCCAACATTCCTCCTGAAGTAGAGTCACTAATCTAATCATTGTAAAAATGGTTGAAGGCAAGTGCAGAGGAAGCTTCAGTCTCTGTGGAAACAAAGGGCCAGGCTGGATCCCAGTGCCCTCTCGCTGAGTCTGGCTTGCTCCCTTCCCTTTGGGTACATATATCACCTATATACATCCCTGTTATGGCTGCCCAGGGACCTAGCTTCAGAGGGAGCACTGGAGAAGGACCTGGATAATGGCGGACCTGTGGCATAATGGTTAGAGTGTTCTGCTAGAAAGTCCAGGTGAGCAAGATCCAGCCTCCCTGTTGGGTTAGTGGGCAGAGCCTAGACTCCAGTTTTTCTGGTTTCCCAGGTCGGTGCTTTGGCATTCAGCTGTTGCGGGGAACAAGTGGGTGCATTCTTCTTCTTTCTGTTTGTTGCTAATGCACAGGTCCAGTCTATCCTCATATGTAGGCATATTTAGTTGTGCATGAATGCAAGCCTGCAATGCCAGTAACAGAATTCCAGACTAGTGGCATTTTTGTCACTTAGTCAGCCATGTAGATAACCAAATCTGGATACTTAAACAACCAGGAAAAAATAGAACTCCACCCCTGATGTTTTTAATAGATATAATTTAATCAAGGCTAACTATTAATCTGGATTTCAGAACACAGTTTATGCCTAAATGAAACAACTGAGAGAGATGTTTTTAAATAGATATAAAAAAGAAGGTGAAAACAGAAGTGTGTGTCAATAATCTAAAGCTGAAGAGATGATCTTATGGTTCTGAAGCTCTAAGTGACCCCATACGAGAACAGATCATAACTGGGGTCCCTAAGAAAGAAAGAAAGGAGGAGGAAAAGAGAGTGGAAAAAAGAGAGAGAAAAAGAAGGAAAGAAAGAAACTTGAGTGAGGACTGGAAAACCCAGAACTGACACTTGACAAAGCAATTAGAATTTGTTGAGGAAGTTACCAAGTCCAGACTGAAGTGTATAGAGGTTAGATAGTGTTCTCTTGCTGTAGATATTTTAGACAACCCAAAACTGTAGACAATACAGTATCTGAGGCAAAAAAGCATGTGAAGTTGTACATCTACAGACAATGGCACATGGAGCACTCAAGCTGTAGCAGTCAGCTCAAACCAAAACAGGTCCTGGCATTTAAAATAATAATAATAATAATAATAATAAATTATAATAAGGCAAGAATACTAATGGCTTATATCAGGAAAATACCCAGTGGCTATAGCTACACTATTATTTAAGTTAGCTAGCCAGGGTGCATAAACCACTCTTCTGGTCTGTATGCTAGGGATTGTACAGCAGCTGCATGCCAAGATCAAAAGAGACAAGCATTGGCAAACTGATATCTAGAAGGGTTTTGCTCAAGAAACAGCTTCCTGGACTTTGGGCAGAGCCCTTCTAGGAAACAGCCTGCCCATTAATCATCTCTTCTTCTGTGCTTGTTTCTAATCACATGCTGTGGAGGCAGGAAATGGAATGCAGAAGGGCTAGAAGTCAGGCACAGAGCTACCCAGGTGGCCGGGGTTGGTGTTGGCAGGTGAGCAGAAGGGTTTTTAATGTACATGTCAAGTGCCTTTAGGTCAGGCTACAAGAAATGTCTAAGTACCAGTGTAGACATGCACAGAATAGACAAAAAAGATGACTACAGCTCAGAGGAATTCTTCATGGGAGCACTGAACAAGGTTGCAGATGAATATAATTGGACAGTGACCCAAAAAGTAACTGAGACATTTATTAATTTTAAGTTGTCTATTCCGGTGCCAGAAGTGGTGATATTAGCACTGAGAGAAAAGTCAGCAGAAGATGAAGAGTTAGGTCCTACAGTTTTGCAGTTATGCTCATTAAGGGAATCTGTTAACTGAATATATGAGCAAATGGCAGCTGGGAAAATATACAATAAGTAGTAGCATCAGAGAAAAAATTTACTTTTGGTTGCTGTAGCAAAGGGGTATGATTAAGCAAAGGGCAGGGAACTAAAGCAAGGGAGATTTTGAAGACATCATCTAGGAGGAGGGCAGTTCTTGATAGGGTAGAACTGAAAGAATGTGCCCCCACACTTCATGGAAAGGAAAGTTTCCCTTGTTGTATATGGCACAAGTTAAAATAAGAGCTAGAGAAATTCATTGTTCTGGTTATGTCAAAGTTGGTTGGGGGAAAAATTCAGACTTGTTACACAGCAAATGTTTCAGTAGATCACAGTACCACATCACCAATGTGCTGCTTCAAGAGATCCAGAAGGGATTTAAATTGAAACAGGCAAGGCATAAGTGAAACTGACAGCTGCTTATCCTAACAAGAAATTAGGGGTGGCATAAAAATATATATGAGTTCATGAAATGTTTATTACTCACCAGCAATAATTTGATTTCTAGTAAAATTGGCACATTGATAGTGTTGCAGACCTTGCTATCAGAAAACAGCAGATGATAGGAAAAACTTTATTTTGGGTGTGTTACTTTGCAGTTAGTTGTTTAGAAGCTTTTATATTAGCCTGTATTTGCATGCGCATGTGGCCAGCTAGTGGACTTCAGTAATAGTATAAAGTGATGGTTAAAACTGAAAGTGATTTGTAACAATCTTTAATGGAAATGGAAACATCTCTCTGTGTAGATGGATATCACAAAAGAAACGCTGAAATAAGCCATCACTCTGACACTAAAGATTTCTGAGATCAATTGTTTTGCTTCCAGTGGAGTCACTGGAACATTTTAGATGTGAGGCTTCATCCAAACAAAATATTGGTGTCCCTACATCTTAAAATGACCTAAATAATGATGGTTTTGTTACTTCCAGTAGCTCTGAAGTAGGGGAACAAGATTAAAATGCTGCTAATGGGGATGCAACGCTCTCTGTGTATGTAGATATGGATGTGAATATTTATTCAAGGAATATTGAGGAATGTACAGAAAAGTAAACTCAGAGCACTGTTGCTCTGAAAGATCTTGCCAGTTGCCTGATATTGAGACAGAGGTTATAATGAGGCCAAGTCAGAACCCTGCATCCTGTTGGTCCCAATCAAGAGAGCAGGGCAAGTCATCCCCTGAACGAGCACCACCTGCAGCAAGCTGAAAGCAGCCCCTTGGTCCCAGCTGGGAGGAGTGAAGCAATCTGGGCTGCAGTTTCCTGAGGCCATGGCCAGCAGATCCCAATCATTCCAGCCCTTAAAAGCCAAGCCTAGCTTACAGTCTTGTTGTCTGGGAAGAGGTGACAGTCCTTGCCTCTGACTGTCCATGTGTTTTGTTTTTTGCTGGTTTGGACTCTAGCTCATGAATCTGGTTCTTGAGTCTGGTTCAACCTTAAGCTCTAGCTTTTGACTCCTGATCCTGGTTAACCCCTAGCTTACCCTGTCTCTAGTTATGCCTTCTGACCAGGTTGTTCTGACTTTGGCTATGGCTCTTGAATGCAGTTCTGACACCTGACCCCTCAATACCCCCAAGCTTCCTGAGGAACTAATTAGGACTACACCAGTGTTTCAGGTGCCTTACCACTAGGTATGACTACACCCTTCAGTTCTGGGTTCCCAACAGAGGTCAAATGATGGCTCAGTACAAAAAAACTGTAAGGATTTGCTTTTGACTATTAAAGGTATCCATTTTTCATATTACCTCTCAAGGAACACAAACTAAGACTGAATTCTCTGTTTTTTCAGCTGATTTTTCTCTATAGCTCCTGCTACAAGGTATTTAACTCCAGTGATTTTTTTTTTTGCATTAGCCATGAACAGGGATCTGAGGGTAGAAGAACATACCAAGTATCCTAGCAAAATGTGAAAAATCAGCAGATCCTATGTGGAGTGATTTAGAAATTATACTAGAAGGCAAGATTTTTGTGGATGAATACATTGAATTTGAAAGCTTGTTTAAGTCTATTCCATCCATACTGTTGGTCCAATAAAGGACACTGTGCACAAAAATCCTTGCTTCTTCCATATTTCCTGGACCATCATGATTACATCAGTCCAACACTACCAATTAGACTAAAGCAATATCATAGGATTATTAAAGTAAACTAGTACCAAATTAATTCTCTGATAGAATATTGGCAAGCTGTTTTAGAAAGGCTTTGATTTGTTCAGCCTTTGTAGAATGGAAAATGGTTCCTCGTGAGGTTCAGTAGACAAACTGTGTTTATTCTACAATGGGAATTTTTTTAAACTTGTGGAGTCTATTGGGAAATATGACTTTATGATGAAAGCACATCTACAACAAATTACCTCAGAGGAAATTAATGAATATTACCTGGGCAAAATATTAATAATAAAATAATTTAAATTCTGCTCTTGGGAGATACTTCTGCCCTGCAACTGCTAAGTATGATTCTATCATATTTGTCTGTACCCAAGACATTAGCATACAAGAGCAGACAACAATGATTGTTAAGGTTTGTTTCTGTAGGAAAAGCAATGGTGGTAAGAGAAGATGGCATTATGATCAAAGAGCATTTAGTTTGATTTTTTTTTTAATGCGACTGGAATGACAAAAGCTCTCCTTAAACAGTTAAAAGAAAAGGGAATCGCTCTGTGATTTGAGAGGTCAAAACTATGTCAACAGGGAAAATATGAAAGACAAACAAAGCAGAGTACAGATGAATTTTCAGGACCCTAAAAACCAGAACAAGGCACAGGGGTTTTTTTCTTTGTATTTTTGTTTTTTACCTTGTATTCACTAATGCCGTGAGCCACCGTACTGGAGTTATGGCATCTTGTGATGTGTTTCAAAGTGTTTATATTTTTGTTACCTCACTGCAGTGTTGGAATGTAATTCAACAACTGTGCTATCTCCTTAAGGGAAACAACTTGGAAAAGTCAAATTCATGCAGTCCGTATTTCAATGTCAAGTTTCAGAAGCCTAAGGTGCTTTCAGCTGCAAGTGTTTCAAACCTAATTGGCCCTCAAGAACTAGAACTCAAAGCAATGCCAAATTGCTGACTCACAGAATCTGTAATTAGAGTGCTATGCCGTGCAGTACTTCAGCATGATAGAAGGTAAGGGTGGTTTGTACCTTGTATACTAACTAAATCAGAGATGTATAGGATAAGCTTTTGTGAGATGAATAGTGTGTAGAAAGGAGAGTAGTTTGAATTCAAGAGACAGGAATCCAGGTGGGCAGTATACACTCTGGGCATTATACACCCAGTCTCTCTGAATACAAGAGACAGATGGGAGGGCAGTACTAGGAGAAGTGAAGAAGCAGTAAACCCATATGGACAAAGGAGTCACAAAAACTAATCCAGGTAATGGGTTAAATATCCCTAACCTCTGTTTAGACCATATTTAACATAATCCAGTTTGTGTATGATTTCTTGTTTCACAATTGCCTTTTCAAGTTGGTTTTTAATGTTCTGTTGTATAAGGGCAACTGCTTTGATATCAGTGGCCGAACGTCCAAGGAGGTTAAAGTGTTCTGCCACAGGCTTGTGTGTCTTTCTGGAATTGATCTCATTCATTCTTACACATAGGGATTGCCATATCTGTCCAATATAGACATCTGTAAGCAGGTAATGGTGTAACAGACATTGGTAGAGTTGCAGAGGAATGAACCTTGGATGTTATAATCTGTGTTATTTGGTCCAGCAATATTGTTGTCTGTATTGATAAAGGGACACAGCTAGCATCTGGGTCCATTGCAATGCCTAGTGCCCAGTGAGAATGGAAGTTAGGTAGCTTGTTGCTTAAGTTGAAGTTGCGGGGCTGTCTGTAAGCCAGAACAAGTTTGTCTCCCATGGCTATTAGGGCTGTGCAAAACGGCATTGTTCCATTTCCCTTGCGTTTCGACGGTTCGAGGGAACAGTGTTTCATCTTAAATTTATTTTCGAGTCAAAACAGCTGTTCTCTTCTCTTCCATTTCATTCCATTCCATTGAAACAGGTTTTTTTGATGCTGTTTCGAGTTTCGCTGGGGAGGGGGAGTCAGAACAGCTGAGCTGACTTCCCATCCCCAGTGCTACATCACACCGGTGTGGAAGGCAGCCCAGTTTCCAGGGCCCCGTGCTTGATCTCACCATGGGGTAGTGCCATTTGCTTATAGGTACAGGATTCCCCAGATCTGAAATAGTTTTGTGTGAGTACAGCATGGGAGAGCATGATGGAAACAGTATTCTCATCAGAGAGATTGTTCTATACGACTTGTAATCTCTCTTCATTCAGGCTGTTGGTGTTCAGAGCTGTAAAATCCACGGCAGCTAATAGGGTGTTGGCTGGAAGCTTGCCAATAGAGCCCAATTTCTTTAAAAAAATCTGTGGTGGCTTTGAAATATCTGGCAGCTACAGTGTATTGTGGGAATAGGATATAAATCATCATCTCATGTCAAATCCTTCAAAAAGTTGGAAGTGGATATTGAACAAACTATGCATCACAAACTATTCAAAGGATTTCCTTGTAAACTAGTGTTCTGATTGAGGATTTGAAACTGCAGTGCCTGATGAGTAGGAAATCAAAGCTAGTTTCTCACAAGAAAAGCAACATAGAATATGAATCATGAAGAAAATGTTTGATTACAAGGCCAGAGATGAACTATTAACTACCCCAAAAAGAAGTATACAGCCATCTTTTTTTCTATTATGTTTTGGATACTGCCATACAGTTGCTTAAAGAAAGATTTTTACAACTTGAAGTACTGTAGCTGTTCAGGTTTTTGGATGATATCTCTGAAATAGTGAAGATGCCTGCAAACAAGTGCAACAATACCCTGGTTTTAGAAAAGCATTAGAAAATAGATCACTCTGGTAAAGAGGGATCTTCTAACATAAATGCCTCGGATATTTGTAATAAATGTCAGACTTTTGGCTGTCAGCTGAAACCTGGAACATGCCCAAAAGCCACTTACCCTTCCATATGAAAACATATTTTGTCCGTGTTTCCAAACATACCTATCATACACTACTTGCATCAGCTCCATCTCACAAGAGTGGTCTAATAGGATTTTCCTCCCTATTGTGAATGGGAAAAAAATCAGACTATCTACCTACTATGTTGTAAGGAGACATTTCCACCCCTCTCAGTGGGAGTAGATGCACTTTGCATAAACCAAACACATTTGCAACCAAAAATATTGATTTTTTTCCCTTCTCTCCTCAACATGACTTGAACCAACAATGCCTATTGCAAAGAATGATTAAAGGTTACTTGGTTGAGTGGGTTTGAATCAATATCACTACTACTCAGGCATGTGCCCTAGTCACTAGGCTACAACATGCAGTTCAAAAGCATCTTCAGGTCCTTCCCTTGAAACAGAGTAATTAAGAGGTGCATCATACTGTGGCACAATGGAATTTGAACCAACACTGCCTACTTCTCAAACATATACCTTAATCCATGGCTACAGAGCACAGGGTGAAATTGCATCTTCAGAACCTTTCCTTAAAAGGTGTTGCATGCTGTGGAGCACAATTAAAATTATCTTTGGGCCAGAAGAGCCCAGCAGCATGTCCATTATCTTAGATCCAAGAAAACTCTTGTAAGCCTGAGCATATTTGAACCAAATCCTACTTCTGAGACAGGTGTCCCAACCTCCAGACTTTCTCTTGATATTCTCATACTACAACTTAGCCCTTCCCCTACCAAAATAACCTTTGATGAAAGAGGGCTAATTCTGACATGTTTTATAGTGTCTTAGGCTATGGCTGTCCACTATACTAATGTACAGTAAGTATAGGGTCAACCCAGTGGTATACCACATCCTCCCTCCCACCATGAGTCATTTTCCACCCCATAATTTTAGCTGAAAGGGATGATAGGATCCCAGCACCCCAATCCTAAAGTGGTGCAATAGTTTTAGCCTCAGCAACATTTGAAACTGTTTTGGTTGGGGGATGGGGAGAGGGGAATGTGGGAACCATATGTTACTGATCCTGTGGAACTGAAAGCACTTTAAGTTCTAACCTTCATAAGAAACACTTTTAATGTAAGCTTAGTGTGTAAACTACTCTAAGTGTGACAATAGTTGATTGTCATTAACAGTATAATTCTCATTTGCCTTTCCTTTTCTCTTCTGTGGGGGAAGTAAGTGAAGGCTGGGGAGTGGGGAGTTAACCACAGGAAGACACTTATCAAATTCATGGGAACTTAGGACTCAAAGGGGCCTTCTGAGCTATCATTTCTGACCCCTATGTTCACAAGTAATAATTTACTGAAGTATTTCCAAAAAACATCCACTCAGAACCAAACACATCACAACTACAAGATCAGGAATATGTAGAAGACCCTACAGCATGGCCAGGTAAAAAGCAGAAGAACTGAGGCCATTTCCAATGCCTTTCCATTGACACTGACAGAAAAATATTTGGTTAATATATACTCAGAGGATCCTAGGAAGAGGGCAGAGGAAGGCAATCTACCCCTTCCTGACCCCAAAGTTGGCAACTGATTTGACTTTTCATGGAAGAACAAAGTCAGGAAGCTATGAGGTTTCTAGGTATTGGGAAGGAAAATTAGCACACCTCAATCAAAATCAGCCTTAAGAGTGGCCAATGTCAAATATTTTAATTTTTTGGGGGGGGCAGAAGCTAAGCCAATAAAGCATTCGCAAAAGAAAAAAATGAACTATTGGCCCCTACAGTTAGCTAGCCAAAATTCTGAAGCATGAAATTGCCTAGCACTCAGCACATTGTGAGAAAGTTACCTTTACATGCAAAAGCAGGCAGGGTAAGTACTCCATATATCACAAACAGATTCCTGAAGCAAGTACTTCCTATGCTGCCAGATTATCCCTTTCATAAACTGACCAAGTTTGGTCAGTCTTAAAATGATTCAGACTTTTTTTCCTCTCTGTTTTGTCCCCCAAACCTTCACATATCTGAAAATTAGAATTATTTTAATTTCCAATCTAAATTTGATCACAACCAGCTTGCATCCAGTGTTCTGGTATTTTTTTTAGCATAAAAAATCCTCTTCTCCCTTTGTAATATTCACCCCAATGTATTTATAAAATGTAATCACTTCAGGTTTTAGTGTTAATCAAAATGGATGCTACCTTTTCTAAGAGTATGCAAGCTGCCTGGCAAATCTCTTTCAGTCTCTAATTTTATCACCAGCCTGACATCAACCTGGAAATCCCAGTTCTCTCAAACAAATGATAAATGTTATCTGCCAATCTCATCCACTAAATAAACTTGGTTTGATCTCCATTACTCACATTTGTCAGGTCTGTTCGAGCTTGCTAGCTGCAATCTTGGTGAAAAGCTCAGCATCATTGCTTAATAATGAAGTAGAACATGATGAAAAACAACTTGAAGGATCCTTCTCCTTTTTCCTACCAAAGTTTTGATAGGGGCTGTGTGTTAAAAGGAAATAGTCAAAAATGTTAAACAGAGATGAAAACATTTTGTCCTCCTCCTAATCAACTTAATAATAATTTCCAAGAGGGGGGAAAAGATCTCCAATCCCATCTGTAACTGGGTGCATGGCTCAGGAGCTGTAGCCTAGCTACAAGGGGTTAGAAAAGGTTGGCAAGTTCACAGGGATGATTGCCTGGCCCAGAGGAAGTTAAAAACTCCTAGGGAGGGGACCTAAGGGAGAGAGGGAAGGCTGTGGTGCTTAAGGAAGAAGCACAGAGCTGGGGTTGCCCTCAGGATCTAAGGAAAGGCTGCAAATTGTGATGTAATTGTTTGTAATTTGTACACTTATTTGTTTATTGCTTACATTGGTTCCTGGGGGAACGAGTTTTGCCAGAGAAAATAAAGACTGTTTGACTAAGCAATAGCAACCTGCTACACCATCCTTTGTATTTCCTGTTACAATATAGAATTTGCTTTAACTCAAAGGTTGAATCTTTTTTAAGTGAGAAATATCCAGATTTAAAAGTTCATTTTGTATAGTTTTTAATTGGATAAAATTAAAGATTGAATACCATTTTGGAAAAACTGCTAATAATATTAAACACTATATTTTGTGAAGACACATTTTGTGGATTTTTCTCCCTACCACACATGTATCTCCTATCCATGAGAGCTTGAGATTATATGACTCTCTCAGGAGAAAGAGTAAG